GGTCTCTCTGCCTCTGCCCTCTCCCTCCTGCAGCCCTCGCAATCATATATTTCCTAAAACCCGGCTTTGATAAGGTCACTTGCTCAGGCAGCTGCACGGGCTCTTCATTCTCTACTAAATCAAGACCAAAGTCCTTGGCTTAGCATTTAAGAGACTCCACAATTTCAAAATTCATAGACCTTGCATTAGCCTGCTTGGGCTACAATCACAAAGTACCATAAACTGGGTGGCTTAAACAACAGAAATTTATTGCTCACAGTTCTAGAGGCCAAAACAAAAAACAAAAAAAAGGACCTCAAATGTTTATTGAACTTGTGCTGTGTGATGGGCTGGGGATAGAGGAATTGAACAGTGGATAGGCCGAAAACAAATATCATCTACCTATGAGATATAGAGATATAAAAATATGCATACATATGCACTCAGTGGTCAGCCACTGGAATTCAATCCTTTAGATCAGAAGTCGGCAAACTTTTTCTGTAAAGGGAAAGAAAGGAAATATTTTCAGCTTTGTGGCCCATATGGTCTTGGTCTCTATCATAACTACCCAGCTCTGCCATTGCAGCACAATAGCAGCCATAGGAAAATGTAGAAAAAAATGAGCATAGCTGTGTCCCAATAAAACTTTATTTACAGATACTGAAATTTGAACGAACTTCCTATACCTTTTACGTGTCACAAATAATTATCATTTTGATTTTTGTATTCAACAATCTAAAAATGGAAAGACCATTCTTAGCTCACGAGCTGTCGAAAAACAGCCAGATCTGGCCTACGGGCCACAGTTTGTGGACCCCTGCTTTAAAGCAGGCAGCTGTAGGATGCTTTTCCCAGTTGTAAGATGAGATCCACTGTATGGCTAAGACCTTGCTGCCTTCTTTTGGGCGTGGGCTGCAAGACCATTTCCTTCTGTTTTTCAAGGTCCCTGCTAGCTCCCTAACTGAGGAGGTATTGACAAAGCCTTTGAAATGCCCAGGAGCTCACAGCCTCCTTCACAAATTTAGGAGCAGTTGTCCCAGGGAGCCCTCCCACAGGACCCACTGAGAGAGACCCAGTGTCTCTCCCCTCACCTGAAAGCTTCCATTGTCCCACTGCAGACACAAAGGCTGAAAATGACACATGTAGACATAGCCCAGAGCCCACTTGTGCCCTGTCCCCAACATAATAACTCTCAAGTGCTGCTAATCTGAATTTTGAGCAGGAACCCTTCAGTCCCCACTCAGAAAAGTCATTTGCATCCTACAAGCAGGGCTCCTGACTGCTATATTAATCTCCCTGTTTGCCCCCTCCTGAGTCATCTAATATTACTGCTG